CTTAAGAGACAAACATCAGTTCTAAATTTAGGTCCTAACGAACAAGAAGAAGGTGGCAAAAATTTAAGCAAGCCCTTTCAGCTTTGGGAGTGAAAAGACTGCCAGGGCAATCCAAGAAAGATGCCATGTCCCTATACTAAACCCTAACCTTTGAAAAAAGTCTGTTAGAGACACTGGAACTGGAATTTATTAGCATCTACTCTAATACTCTGACCTGAAAATGTATTATTACTAGTGCTGTATATTGATACTCTGCTTGGCACAGCACCATATGCAAGATGGATGGTCTCTGAAAACCAGGGTTTGGCCAAAAGTTCTCTGGTTTAATGATCCTTATTTTCTTCCTTTTCCCTATTATCAGTTGGCTGAAAATGTTAGTATTTAATCACATACAAGCATGTTCCACTTCCCTTTCCAGCCACAAATAATAATAGCCCAATCCACTGGAGTTTTTCCATGACTTTGATGAGAACTGGATCAGATCCAAAATGAAATGGTTTGGCAAGGAGTGGAAGACCTTGAAGAAAACAGGGGCAGTAGTGAAGGGTTGAAACAACAATCCTTATAGCAACTTTTCACATCTAATGATATATCACAACAGAGGAACATTTTTTAATTATGTTTCATTAATACTATGTAGTTAAGAGAACCCCTGCAACAAAGCAGAAACGGAGATGTTGTTCCCAGTTGATGTTTGTATTACAGTAGTACTCAGCTCTTAACTGAGGTCAGATGTCCACACTGCATTCCATGAGAGAAAACATGCTGCACTGGCTATGCTCTTGAATATTTTGTGCCTGCACTGCCCCTTACTTTCTCCACCTTTTCTTTTCATTCCTGGACCATTCATGAACTTGAAAATGATACAGAAAAGGCTTCACAGGGATGGAAGTGATGGGAGTCTGATAACTGGCTGATCCAGCTGTATATGTTAAGAGCAGTGGGTCAGCCTAAATAACTTCTGTAGATCATCAGGTTCTATGTAGGGATTTCTAGAATATCTATCCTAAGTAGAAGCTAATCCAGAAATACACAAAATGAACACTGACAAGCTGCCCATCACTGTGGCCCCAGTTATCAGCCCTAACCCCCTGTAAGGCCACTGCTCACTAATAACAAACAGCTGCATTGCACAACAGTTCCTGAAAGCCACCAGATCATTTCGTACCACAGTGGGAGCAAACACTCGCTGTGGGGACACTCAAATGAAGTCTCCAGCCCAGACTTGTGTTGGGGAGGATGTGGGGTAAAGCCATCTGAAAACATTTCTCCATGGCCAGTTCAGGTGTGTGCCTGTGACCGTTCTGGCCCTGGGTCAGGCAAAACTCGGGTTTCCATTGAAATTTGAGAACTATCCCACACAGGCTGAAAGCCTTTCTGTACAGTAATTAATGAAGGACGTTACCCAGCTGCAATGTGGCAGAGGGCCAGAATCTTAATGCATGCCATACGTTCGATTGTTTCTTCCAAACATTTCCAACCTCTTGTAACCACAATTACAATCAAGAACAAGGCAATTCTCTGCATAATCAGCCCCTCCATCTTGGGCTCATATTTAACACTTCCTGTGTTTTAACCACTCTGGATATCCCTGTCAGCTCTGGAATTTGTTTTGGCTTGTTTTCTAGGACAATCAAAACCTTATTGTTGTTCAGCATATAGAGACCGACATAGGCAACTGAATTTTGTCCTTCAGTAGCTGCTTCATATTGCTTTTTGGTCAAGAACTCTCTAATAAAACATTACCAGCAACAGAAAAAAATAGAGATAGACACAAGAGATAAAAAATACTGATGTATCACAGACTATTCTGGAAGGAGGATATTTTAAATGTCCCCTTCTTTCTGGTTCATCACTGGATTTTCAAGACAATGCAAAGTTTCAACTTTGCATGATAACTGTGGGAACTGGTAGAAATGTCACTTAACAGAAGCATCCCAGTTCCGTAATTTGAAAAACTAAATGTTTTCCCTGTGACAGACAAACATCATAGTACAAAACACTGACAAAAGCTTAAACAACGCCTGACATATTCTCATCCTACTGACACACGAGTATGCTCAGGTGGTAAATAGTGCCAAATGATACACAACATCTCCCATTTCTAATTAGACACAACTGGATGCATTTTTGAGCTGCTCAAGAATTTAATTTTTAACTGCGGATATAGTATCAAATTAATTTGGGGCTATCTGCAGTATGGCTACATTACACTGCTTCTATAGTATAAAGAAATCATTTAGCAAGCATCTATATAATATAATACAAATATTTCTGAATCTGTAAATATACCTTAGAGACCATCAATGTGCAGAAGGTGAGAAACAAGATTTTCCTCAGGAGAGATCCTTCTTTAGATTCTTTTGAGGACACATTTCAGAAATTTAAATTATTTATCCTGAACTAATTACTGAGCTTTGGAAGAATACTAATTATTTTCTAATTAAAGTGACTTTCAATCTAGCATGTAGTATCATATCTTGAAAATGTCTTTGCAGGACTGCTTTGTCTCCTCACACGGAAAATATCTCCTTATAAATGTAAATGAAGTAATTAATATTTTTATACAGCCATTCTGTTGTTATTTTTTTTTCAATTGAGAATGTCAAAAGAAGGAAGACAGCAGTTACAAGCATGGATTCTAAGATCCAGAGACAGCCACACAGGGACTTTGTGCAGCATTCCTCACGTTTACACCAGATTCAACCAATACGCAGGATCGTCATACAATCCACGGGAAGATTTCAGTACATTTGGCAGATGGAGCTTTCAGTTATATGTTTTATAAGGCTCAGATTCTGCATGAAGTCTTTGCAGTGCAGAGCAAGGGGGAAGGAGAACAAGGAAAGGAGTGTATGAAGCCCAAGTGCTGGAAGTCTGGGGGTGTTCCTGTAGGACATGCCCTGCCAAGCAAGCCAGGGGCAGCAGGAGATAAACTGAAATAGCAATACAGGATATGCCAAGTTCAGAATAAACAGCCTGTTTCTCAAAGCCAGTTATTTCCCTTAAAGCAGCACAAAAATGACACCGTGCAGTCCCTCAGTTCTCAATTGTCAAGGTAGGGGACCTCATCAGATCTCAGATTAATTCAGTTATTTCTAACTAACAAAGGTATTTTCATGGCATTTGGCCTTTAACTTCAAAGGAAATGTAGTATAATTCTTTGTGTTTAGATTATAATTGTAAAATTACTTTAGAAATCACAAACTCATTTGACTTAATCTGCTAAAGACAATTCTGAGGATTTTGTCAGAAATTTGTATTGTACCAGGAACAGAAGAAATTAGGGAAATAATTCCTTTAGCCTAAAGTTCTGTCATAACCTCATAATTGTGATAATTCTTGAAAGTATAATTTTGAAGTAAATGAATACAGTAAATCAAAAGCCAAATTAAGAATAGTTTAAAATGCTAGCAGAGCTGCATTCACTCTGTGCTGAGGGGAAAGTGAAATGTGTGGTTGGTTGTGTTTGCAAAGTAGTGGTATTTCCACACCAGAGACACCAGGAATTAATAAGCCACACTAATAAGCACCTTAAGGGCATCTGGAACCAAATGTAGGAATAATACTGCTTCAGCTTCATCAAAAGAAAACTGAAATGGAATAAACAGGCCAGTACACACAGTAACACTGTCAGGGACAATAGAGGGACTCGTTTTGTAGGGATCAAGTGCCAGTCCTATGAGTGTATTTAATTCCGTACACTCCTGGTTTTTGTGTACTTGCAGAGACCTGCAAGTGGTGAGCTGTAGTGCCTTGACACAGTGGTGTGTAGGGGGCTGGAAACAATTGGTAATAAGTCCCTACTACAATAAACCACTTCCCTTTCTGCAGAGGACGTGCTTGACCACTCCTGCTACTGGCAGATCTCTGCAGTGTCACTGCATTCAGTGGGCACAGAATCAGCTCTGTGAAGGGCAGTGCACAGACATTGTGACAGAGGAAAAAGTAGCTTAGAGAATATGCTGCATGGTAAAATAACACATTGATCAGTTCTAGCTGAAAAATATCTCCTTTGTCTAAAATCATTGTTTCAAAGACTGAGAACACAACGTAATGTTACACAAAGTAACAACTCCTGGCCCACTCCTGGCCCATAAAATGTTAGGTAAATAACATTCTACATCTTTGGTAATTGTACACAAAGTAAAAAATGCTGCCCTTGACCTTTTCAAAATATGTACTTTCCCTTAAGCAGAACCTATTGAAATAATGGTAAATCCATTACATGGCCAGAAATGGACCCAGACATAGGAACTTCCTTCTTGAATGAAGGGGTGGCCTGAGGTAGGCAATTTTATCCACTTTTTATAAATGAAGGAAAGGAGGTAGTGTGGCTGAAGGAATATTATTTGCTAAAAAACATGACTCTTCCTGCTCTAAGGTTATCCTACCAAAGTTTGAATGATTCAAATTCGATTTTCCTGTTTTCCCCTTTTTTCCCTGTAGCTGTAGGACAAGGGTAGCAGGGAAACTGTCTGCATGAATAGCATTGCCAGATGTGCTAGTAAACAAGTGGAAAAATACTTATTTTGTGTAACTTTATTCCCTGAGCTGTTACTTACAGAAACTGTAGGCAGGACTTACTCAGAAAGGCATTTATCTGTTTCCTCCTGAATGCCTCCCCCTCTGCACTTCACTTGCTTGGCCTAATGGTTAACATGGGACTGGTCCCTGTGAGGTTGGTGAGGGCACCTTTGTCCACGCTTAACTGCACACAGAGGGGTTTGCTGCTGACTGAGCCCTTTGCTGGACTGGAGCCTGCGTGTTCTCATAGCCACTGACAAGCCATCAACCCTGCCATTGTAACTCCAGAGCAGTCAGACAGAGCCCAGTGCAGCAAATAAAATCACCCCTTCACCTGCTGCCACAACAGCTCTAGGTCTGACTCCTGAGCCTCACCCTGCACAGTAACAGCATTCCCCTCTTCTGTCCCAGTGTATTCCACAAGAAAGCCAGGCACCAGGCAGTCCATCACTCAGCACTGACATGGACAGTACCTTTCTTTTCCCCCGTAAATGGCACAAAGTCTTCTCTGTCTTTGTGCTCCAGTGCTTGCTTCTCCAAGTATGAGAGCAGGCGTTCCCTGTCGAAAGGGCCCGTGGCAGCTTTAGTGGTCTGGTCCTTCTGCCGAAATCCTGCTGGAAGCAAGGCATTCTGTGGAAGACAGGGAGGCAGTTTTACACAGTGCTCCAAATTTCATCTCAATGTTGTTGGTTTTTATGTGCCATCATTCTTTGCATAATGCTCTTTGGTGACAGCAGTAACACACCTTACCTAAATGTAACCATGAAAACCAGTATATTGTTCAGGCTTCTTGATTTACCACCTAATAATATTTTAATTAACCATATTTACAATCACAGCACCAAAGAACTAAGTAGGATCAGAGTCCTTTGTGTTACACATATTATGACCACAGAGCTTGCAGTCCAGGTAAATCTTTTACGCATTTCTTTCTATTCATTTGCTCTTTTTCCTCACCATTTTTCTCTGCCTCATAAAAAACAAAATTCCTTTCATTCTAATGCAGATGTCTCCTGGACTTCAGACATGAACGGCATGCACAGAAAGAGACTGGTGAATGATGTGGACTTCAGCTATTTAGACTATGAGGAAGCAAGCAGAGAAGTCCCACTCTCAACACGCAGCATTGTGACCCTGTGATTGCATCTCCATCCCATAACATAAGAAGATGCATAAGGCTCCCACGTTTTAATCCAGGAAATCCACGTCAGTCCAGGAAATCCCAGAAAAGAATACAGGTGTGTGGACTTTGCAGTGCATGTGCAGTAAAGCCAACATGTTGAGGATGCCCCAGAGTGCTTCAGGAACACTTCATCACTGACCAAAGCACGCACAGTAAATCTGATCCATGGCAAATATCCAGTGAATTCTGAGCGTATCCAGTGAACTCAAGTCACTAGACATTTTGCATGCACAAATGTGCCCAGAGTGCTACCAATTCACTGCACATATGTAGTGTGACTCCAAATGGCCTGTTTAATTTGGTTGGTTGGTGTCCTTTTTTTGATGTTTTTCTGTGTCACTATTTGAGATTCCAGACACTTGAAAATACCAGAAAATACCACTGTAGAAGTGGCAGTAGTGAAGGAAGTGGCAACATGGAGGGAGAGAACAATAAAGTCCACCATTAATTTCCCAGTAAATTGGTGTTATAGAACTAGAAATTATAAATTGATTGTGTTTTTCAAAATTTATTTTGCCTCCAGATTGAACAGATTTTATCTGCCAGTTTACCTGCCAATTTTCAAACTCCTACATCAGTTTGAATGTTTTGGGGTAGGTACATTCAGAATTCCCAGCACACTTGAGACTGTAACCTTATTATTGTAGGACCAAATGGTTCTCAGGCCAGAGATCTTTAAATACTTTGTGAGGGCGTCTTCAAATATCCAAATTATCCTTACTCCCTAGAAAATGACAGTTGTGTAGCTGAATCTTACTTTTCTTAATCATGCCTAAATATGTTCACTTCAGCTAAAAATATCTGTGCTGAATGCCACAGTCAACAAATTTCAGAAGTTCAAAAGACTTGATCCTCACAAACATACATTATGTTTGTTTATTGCTGTGCTCAGAAACAACAGCCATAAAAACCTTCTCATTGTGCTGCAGTGCACAAACATGATTAAAGATTTAGACTGCAGACAAGCTCATGCCTAAATAGACAAGGGATAGACAAAGGGTACAAAAGCAAGGAGCACATCACAGCAGGAATGCAACCGAAGCGTCCCTGGCTGAGCTACTCATACTTTAGGCTACACTGTAACAGAATACAAACAACAAATGCTGCAGGATGTGACATTTAGAACAGGGAACTCTTGAACCCAGATCCCCTGGCCCCCATCACTAACCTCGGGATCAAGGTCATCGAGAACATGCTCTAGCTGTTTCAGTTCATCCTCTGAGAGTTTGCTGAGTATTTCATCTTCATTGATATTCCTGTACTTCTCCAGCTCTTTTCGGAAGGGCAGAGACATGGCTCCTGCTGCACTGCTCCACTGACGCTGCTTGTCAAGATTTCAACCATTCAGGAGTACTGAGCTTCTTGTGGCCTCACTTGCTGTTAACAATAAAGCATTATGAGTATCTCCATTTAGCTGAGAGTCCTAGAAAGCCCACGTGCTCAGAGTCACATTGACACTTTATTAATGAAAACAAAGCAGCAACATGTCCTGGCACAGCAGGGGGGGTGTGGGAAGTGCTGGGGCTGCCTGTGCAGCGGTAGCCATGGAATAGCAAGGATTGGGTGCAGCAGCAGAGAGAAGCTTCAAGACATGGATAAGAAAAATATCAGGAATTTTCCTTTTCCATTGAAATGAATCTGTTTCATTTAATTTGTTTGGAAACAGCAGTATCTGTTTGCTCTTTTGGCTGAAAGCAAAGTGGTAGAGTCATAGACAACAGTCCAGCATTGACAAACAAGAAACATAATGTTATGCCTTGTGTGATCTTGTGTGTCCCAGCTTTGCTGATGGCTGAAAGCTAACCCACAGCATCTGGGATGACTTTTTGGCACATTCTGGTTACTGAAACATCTTTAAACTATGCTGGTTGTTAGTCTTATTTCAGCATATTTGGTTACACTTATGAGCAAAATAATTCTTGGAGTGAGGACATGCTACTCATAGCTCAGAAGATTATCTGTACACCAGTCTGCTGCATGGGGCACCTGCAGGTGTTCAAAACACAGCCATGAAAAAAATACGGGCTTACTATTTCACAAACTCTTGGGTTTAAAACTTGAATGTGGTTCCTTATTAGATGACCCCAACTGATCAGGAATAAGAAGTTCTCATTTGCATGACCACAACAGTCATTGTCATATTATTCGTCATATGACAATATGACAAAGGACCCTCTGTCTTTACTTGCTTTTTTTCTTGTCCAGAACAAATTCCAGAACAGAATTAGCCTGTAAATGGACGGAGTGAAAGCGAATTCAGCTCTGATCAGAAACAGCATTATCTGGGGACTTCAGTTGTGCTCCAGGCCCTCGAGTCTGCCCAGTTTCCCATAGCAGCACCACCTCTCTCCAAATTACACAGCTCACTGTGCAGTTTTACAGCTGAGTTTTTGCATTCACGAATTTTGAAGTCCTGGTTGATATGGAAACCAGCCAACTGGCACCTACAACTGGCTTATGTATCAACTCCAACTCTGATTTCCTCTGGCACATCCTTAGTAGTCATAAGCTAAAAAAATCCATGTGAGTTCTGTTGCTCTTCTTATAAGCTGGAAGCCTGATTTTTATTTTTCTTTTATTCAAGATCCAAATTAAAATATTTCATTTACTTAGGAGTTTCACTATTAAAATACTAAATATTAAAACATATATAACTTTTCCATTTATCAAAAAGACTGAAAATCAGTAACCTACAGAAGAAGAAGAGAATAATTAGCAGAATTAAAAATTTGGAAAATCTGGAATTCTTTGACTACTGCAAGGCACAATAAGCCTTGACTTGAAACACTTAAACATCCTATTCCAAGACAAAGCTTTATTTCCCTAACACACACTCATTTTTTTCTTTATTACTGCTCTTGTTTGGTGCTGCTGTTTTCCTGGCATGACATCATTAACAAACCATTCCAAATGTCAGGATAGAATTCAACCATCCTTTAAATTGTGAGTCTCTTTCAGGAAGATAGTTGGCATCTGATGTTTCACGAGGTTACAACAGGTCTGTAATTTTCTTATATAAAAATATCATCATATGCAATGAGTGTGAGATATTTTTTCCAAAAAAAGTCCAAAAGAGCTAATGTTTTTGTGTACTTGGTGCTTAAAGAGAACACTAGTTCAGTGTGTTTAATCGATACAATTTGTTATCAAAATTACTTGTTCAATACTGAAAGCATTTTATTTAAAAGTGATAAGTGTATTTGTTTAAACTGTAAAAACAAATTGAGCTGCAGCACAACTTTCTGTACTAAGGCATCAGATGCCTTCTCTAAGTTCCTTTGGATAAACTCATTACAAACATAACATTTCAGCTAGCAGCCATTAACTGAGCTGGAAATTTTCTTTGAGGGGATTAGAGCTTTTTAAAACTATTTAACAGTTTAAATAGGTTATTTTATTAGAGTTTAATCACATCCCCGGAAAAAAACAGAAATATAATCCCAAGGTTGGGATAATTAAATATTGTTGGAAAAGTAACCAGTGAGAGCACACAACAGTTTCCCTGGCGGAGGGTCAGCAGTTCTGCAGTGCAGGACGCCTGGTACCAGAACCTCTCCCTCGGCTCTCTCCTCGGCACTGCACGATTCCCGTCAGGGAACACAGCCAGGAATTGTTTTACTGGTATCAGCAAGGCTGTGTTTGTAACAGCTTTTATTAAAAGGTTTGCCAAGCTGCATCCAGGTGCTAATGGGTAGGTACTGCAGGGTATGGTTTGTGTGCACCAGACACTCTGATTTCTTTGTGAATCGCCTATGTGCTCAGCCATAAAGGGAAGATGTGACAGGATCTTTTCAACAGGTGACAGTTCCAATATTGATTGTAACTGGTTCCTTTTAGTTGTTAGAAAGAGAAGGTATCTGACCATGTGCAACAGGGATACCCCAAAGAGAAACATAAACCCAGGTATTACAGCTGTATCAGCCTAAATTCCCTCATGGCATGAAGCACTGTCTTATTAGATCAGCAGTGGAAGAGACTGAAATTATGCTTTTCTTGCATGCACACATTTGCAAATTCCCTTGATATTTCACAACAGAATCCTACTCTTCTGTGACTGAACAAAAGCAGAAGACACTGCCTGGGAAATTTCTTTGTCCACAATCCCTGTAAGCAGTAAAGCTCTTCTGGAGCTTTCACTCTGCTGAAGAGGCTACTGCAAGCTCAGCTGAAACGCCTGTTGCTCATGTCCTGACTTTATGCACTCGACTGACCTTTCACCACAGTCACATTACTGGAAACCAAGGGAACAAGATAAATCCAACAATTCAGCATCATTCAGTCTAGGAAGGAAATACTGAAGTCTTGATTCACACACTCTGGAAACTGCTGTCTAATGTGATGATTACGATCTCCACCTTCCTAATTGGATTCCATACTGTTAATTTTGTGTATGTAAACAGGACCACATGCTGCCTGTGTGGCTTCTTACTATGGCTTGGCTTTTCTGAGTGTGCACATACTATTTACTTCTTATACACGATGTCCACTGGATTTGCTTTGTTGTGATTTCTGTATGAAACCTTTAACTAGTAAAAAAAGCAGTCCTAATCAAGAGCTCTCTGCTACTGTTATTTCGAACATACCAAAGCAGATCAGGTGTCACGCAGTAGAAGGGAGATGTCCAGTCTAACTGCAGGGGAAATGTGCTGTTGAATGTTACACTGTATTAGGGACACTGGGGGAAACAGACAAAGGACCGTGGATAAAACTGTGGAGTTTCCTTCACATTTACAGAAAAGTGCGAAAAAGGAGGTTAAGGAACAGAAGAACACAAATCCCATTTGTTTTTCTGCATTTAGTTTCTGTATGGAGCACCATAGTTTTCCATGGGCCTGAGCCCCCAGTGCTACACAGCAAAGCATTCCACTGGGTGCTCAGAAGCTGAAATCTGTGCTGATTCTGGATAATGTAGAACTGTGAGAGGCAGCATTTCTGTTTAACCACATACTACCTTTAAATCTTTGTGGAGCACAGAGGTTTCACAGTGAACTTCAAAGAACCCACTGCTATATTTTTAATTTTGTTTCTTTTTAAAGAAAGAAATATATATGGTTTTATTTGGGGCAGCTTTGTCACCCATTCCTGCCAACATCAGGATTCAAAATGTGTTTCCAAAGACAAAAAGGGTGTCATTGTCAGCTGCATAAAATCATTATTGCTCTATGTAGTTGACACCTGCTGTGATATAACTCCTCTATGCCTTGCCATGTTCCATAAGTACTTTTTTGCTATCCTTATACATTTCTGAAAGGGCTTTCTAGAGTAGCTAGGCTGTAATTTCTGCTGATACCATGACACTGTCATAATTTTCTACTGCTGATAAGAGATGTTTCTTTCTGAGAGTGCATTAGTCCTTTGCTGAATTAATGTTGATTGTCGGAGATGTCCCACCCACATTTGCTTGGATCCCCTGGGAAGTGTTGGGACAATCTGAACTATAGAACCTTCTACAGACCAGCAGCTACAAAGGCACTTTAAACTCTTGCTGTCTAAAACACAAGCTATACACTTACAGAAATGTCATGTCTCTGGGCTCTGTAGAAATGAGAACACTGTGATAGCGATGATATGGATTTTGAGCTTTTGATAGTGTGTACAAGCTAAGAAAGAAGCTGCTTGGCAATGTGCATTTATGATGTACAGAGAGATGTGCTGAATGGGAAATATCTAACACATTTTTATAGGGGAAAAAAATACCTTTTCATAATCAGATTTGAGAAATTGTTCTCATTTTTCCAAATCATTACAAGTGATCTTTAGAAAGGAAATCCTGTTGCACGATCTGCTTTAAACTATCTCCATAACCACAGTGGTGGATATTTGTGCTTTGAAAAATAGTTGTGAAACTGATCTGTAAACGTGGAAAAATTCTTCCCTTTCTTTAAATAGACTGAAGTATTTAAACAGGAAAATAAGAAACAGGTGGAATTAATCCGAAGTTAAATTGATACGGGACCAAATAAATAGGATTGGGGCCATTATGATTAAGAGCCGTGTTTGTGCAACACAAGCAGATGCTCAGAAGAAGGAGGATGATTGTCCTGCACTGTCCAGGCAATGGAATGCTCCCACCAATACATTTAATCCAGTGCCAGACAAGGAACCCCTCTGCTGTCCAGGAATGGCTATGAAAAACAAGGCTTGGCTGTTGAAAGCTCAAACTTTAAAAAAAAAAAAAATTATAAATACTCCATTGTTTGACATATAAATAAGGTTCCTTTTTAATTTTTATACTTAAAATGTAAGACCAATGTACCAATGTACTTTCCAACCATGAATATATGGGAGATGTATACTCAAAAGATCGTGTTTTCCAGTAAGAGGTTCAGAAATCTCAGAAAAGTTGGAAAGAACACATTAGGGCCAGCACAGCACAC